CACACACACACACACACAGCTTGCTTTTATCACCTTAGTACTATTTGTCCATTTCCTCTGATTCTCTCCCTGATTTCTAATGGTCAAAATCTGCCAGACTGGCAGAACTTTTTGCTAAACTGCTAAGCCAGTCTTTATAACCAGACGTAGGGTCACATGTGGAAAAGGCAAGAATATGTAAGAATCAGGTCACACTACTGATTTAACATTTAATTAGAAAACAAATCATTTTTCTGTGACTGTGCCCACTCTTCCTCCAGGTACCCTCTCAAAGATTTGACTGTTTTTGAACAGCTGGGTTACGATGTGGCTTGAGCATGTCCTGTTAGCCCTTGCACAATTAATCCATTACACTGGAGCCACTGAGGGGACAATCCCACCTGGAGCTCCTACCTGCCTGGTTAGAGGTCTTCCTAACATGCATTTTCAGGGGTGGGGTCCCAAATCACCTGCTGGAATTACATTTTCCCCTGGGTGTGAACAGCCCACCCTTGCCCGTTGCCATCATTGAAGCCCAGTTTTCTCAGGCAGGTGCTAGAGCCACTGCTTTGTCCCTTACTGGGACATCCAGGCTGGAGTCAGTGCTAGAATTGCACCTAATTGTGAGTTGCAGACTGCTGACGAAAGTTGATAGGGTGATCTTTCTAAGGGACAGTGTTTAATGCAAGATAACGCCGATTTTCTAGAGAAAGAGTGGTTTTCCTAAAGATCAGAAACGTGTTTTCTCTTAAATTCCAGTCTGTAAAAGACAACAAAAATGCACTTCAAGAAGAAAAGCAGTCAATAGCAGAAGCTTTATTTAGAGTACCTGAAAAATTCTAATTCTGAATTCGAAATAAGGAGGTCTGGAAAGGTATTTTTCTACTCTTAAAGTGAGAGTTTACTCTTGTTAAAGATAGGGTGTTTCCCTGTACCTAGGATGCTAGAGTTAAGGAGAATCTGTCTAGTCTGTGAAGCAGAATGCAGACTATATGAAATGCATCCATAGGCCCGGAGAGTCCGCTGAGCTCCAGGAGAAGATCAGGAATGCCTGGGTGGTAGAGGATGGATCTGAGGCCATGGGGCCTTGCCTGAGTCTCCCTGTCCCAGAGGCACCCAGGTGCAGACTGAAGATTCTCTCTTATTTGCGACTACTCATCAATAATATACTGGCAAAGCAAAAGAGAAGGGGCAGCTATTATGGCAGAAAGCAGGAGCTTCTTTGCACAATTGCTTAGGAATTCCTGTTAATATAACTAAAAGGCAGATGTTTTCAGCAATAAAAGGTCATGACACATTTTCTGAAATGTCAACAAAGAAGGGTTATCATTAAGGAAAATAACTTGGTTATTTCTATTTTATATTATTTTTATGCAGAGAATTTCATATATATGAAAACGATTGTGACAAGATTATGTTCTATTAAATGATTGACTATGGAGAGGGGAAAAAAATCACAAACCAAAAAATAATCTCCAAAGCCCACAACAGAAGAAATAAGTCTAGATTGAAATTAAATTTTAAATCAGTTTTTACACTCATTTTTAGTTTTTGGGAGTGTGGGGATGGGTTGTGAGAATCAAATAGGACAATTTAAGTGAAAATGCTTTGGAAAACATAAAACTTATACAAATGTATGCCCAAATCCTTAATTTAGTTAAGAAAAATCTTTGGCTCTATGTAAAAACTCATCTTCAAAATTCCCACCCCATCTATGAAATAAATTGTTACTCAGTACTTTTTAGAAATAGTGAGAAAGGATATGGCATTGTTTTCTCTTATTTCAGCCAGATGTATATTTGGACAGATAACTTTCTCCTCCCCTCTAAAATAAACAAATCAATAGCGTTTTAAATTCCCTCTTCTAGTCTCTTGCTCCATTTCTTTTCTGTAGTTACTTATCTACCAATTATCTCTCTAACCTCTAAACTTTGAAAAGTGGTATTAGTCTGCAGTATTTACTGAGCACCTGCTACACTGCACATCTTTTTATCTCCGCTTTACGTATAAGAAACAAATGAAAGAATTCCCGCTATCGAGTTGCTTCTAATAACATAAGCATACACTCATGACACAAGAGGAACAAGCCTTTTCAGCAGGAAACAATGGGGTGGATGGAAGGCTAGCAAGGTAATTTTTTCATTAATCCATTTAACAGGACCATTTTAAAAAATCTCAGTAGTCTGTAAAACAGACTGAAGTTGTCTGCTTCGTAACAATATCTTTCCCGTGTGGCAGTTTACTCTTTAAATGCGTAAAATACCTCAGTGCCCAAGTGGCATGGAGATAACTCAGTGCCCAACTCCTTCATGCAGAGAACTGTGAATTTGAGTTTCCTCTCAAGTTTTCAAGGTTTTTTACTAATGTATTCATTAGTCTTATCCCTAGTCATCAGTTTTTCTTGGTGAAGAACTTTAGAGGAGGAGGAAGATGGTTTGTGATCAGGCCTATCAGAAAATGTTCATACTACTGTGAATTGAGACTATGACCTACATGGAATGAGTTTGTGTTCACACGGGTTTGTGAAAAGTTAAATACAGAGGCACAGTGAAAAATCCTAGGATTTTTTTCCCATGCTGAAACATTCTATTTCAAATCAAATAAAATTTAAAATTAAAGCACTGTATATTTTCCTTAAAATAAGTATTTTTCCGCTTGCAAACACTGTAGACACATTAATATGCAAACTCAGTCCAGGTTTTGGACCACTAGGGGTGCCCAGAAACCCAAGAGTTTTTCCGTATTCAAGCATTAACCTTACCTTCAAATTGTTATTGCCAAGGGACTGAGGGTAAGTCATCAAGTTTGGGTCTTGTTTTCTTCTTCAAAAGTAACTAGGGGTACAGAGGACAAAAATAAAATGCTGAGGCTCTGTGTTGTTTTTCTACTTAAGGAATTTAATATTTCTTTGCCTTCCTCCCCTTTCCCTCCTCCTCCTCTCACCATCTGCATACATAGCAGGAGTCCAGCAAACCATCCCCCACATATCTTTAGAATTTGTGGGATGGGATCCCTTATTTTAGGGAGTTGGTGGGTGCAAGTTGTTATTGTAACTCTATTCTGTAACTAAAGCTCTGGCATGTAATAAATCTCTCCCCAAAGACTTTTGGATCTTTGATTTGAAAAATCGGATTCCTTTTGTGGAAACAGTTGACAGGAACCTAAAAGGATTAGTTGCATTCCACATAGGATAATTTTTACTGGCAACATTTTGAAACGATTTGGTCCCTTTCAGACCTTAAACAATATCCAGAAAAATGATCTAACGAGACTTGTATTGTTTTCCTTTGTCTGTGAATCCGTTTGCCGCTTGTTCCAACGTCTCGATAGGGTTTTGACAGGGTTTTGCTCCCGAGCAGTGCACCGGATTAATTTTTGAACGCCCTTTCTATTTGGTTTGTTACCTCCTTCGGGCAGGGGCGCAGCAGTGTTTCCCCAACGTCAGCCCCTGAAACGAAGCGGGAGCTGGTGGTTTGTCTCGGTGGCGCCGTGTCTGAGAGGGGGCGCAGGGACCCGTCATCGCTCGCTGAGGGCCAAGCGTCCGATGCGCAACCGCCGGGCCCACGGTCGCCAACAGCTCGGGCAACGGGACGTTGCAGGGGTGGGCGAGGCAGTGCGCACATCCCAAAGCTTCACTGTCTGACAGTCCTCTGTCCACCTGGACGTGATGCTGAAAGCAAGAGGGAGACAAGGGAGATAACGCTGCTTCTCCTTCCCTCTGACCCCCTCACCCCCCAAAAAGCCCCAAACAAAAAACCAAGCGAGGCCTGCTTGCTAGCCCGCCGCTGTGCTGCTGGGCGCGGGCCGCGGGCGACAGCCCTCCCGCCTCCCCTGGTCCTCTTCACTGTTTATTTTGTTGTCAGCGGACTTATCAAGATGTTAGTTGCTGGAGGTTCTGACCTGCCCGGGCGCTCTGGCTGCTCAGCCCCGGCTTTCCCCTCTGTTTTTACACCTGCACAAACTCCACCGCACTCCCCTGTCTGATTTATAGCCCAATTAAAGGTTCAGTGTTCTTGAAGCCACCCGCGCTGCTCCCTTCCCGGCCCCCGCCGGCCGCGGCGAGCGGAGGAATGCGCTGGGCCGGGCCCCTGGGCTCGCGACGACCCGGCGCTCCGGGCCTCCGGGGGGCGGCGGCGCGGGTGACGGCCCGCGCCGGAACGAGGGCGCCGAAACCACGCACGCACACCGCCCAGCAGCCGCGCGCAACGCCGCCGCGTCCCCACACCAAAGTTCTCTCCTCCTTGGGGTTTCGGCTTTATTGGGACGGGGCGCTGCGCCGGCCGCACTCAAGGCCCGAGGCGGGAGGGCTCCGGAAGCGGCCACGTGGCGCGGCCGAACGCGCAGGCCCCGCACCGACCTTCCGGCCCCTGCGCAGCCCGGGTCGCGCCTCCGCACGATTTTCCGGGTGAGGAACGAACGAACGGCCGCGAGGCCGGGCGGGGCGGAGAGGCGCCGGGTGGGGGCGGGGGGCCGCGCGCCTCTCATCCGCGGCCCTTCCTTCCCGCCTCGCTCGGCAGGCCGCGCGGCCCGGAGACGCTCCCTGGGGAAGCGGGTGGTGCCCGCGGCCGGCCCTGGCTGTGGGCGGGAAGCGCGGGGTCAACGACCGCCCGGCCCGCGAATCCGGCTGCTGCGGAGCCTCCTCGCGGGCGGGCGGACTCCGGCTCCAGCCTCCTCCTCTGCGGCCTTTTCTTTCCGGAGAGAATAAGCGGCGACCCAACCGAGATTGGCAGCATTGAGCATCTTCCTAACCCACTCTGTCTTCTTTCCATCTATCAATCCACATTTCTAATTAGACTAATTAGGAGCGCTCTGGAGTGTCGCTAGGCCCAGGGACTGAAACGCTTAGAGATTGTGAAAAGAGCCCTGAATGGCCACGCTGGGGGCCGGGCGGGGGCCTTGGCGACCCATTCAGCACAGAGTAACAGTGGCTACATTTATCCCTGGCCATTGAAAAGAGGCTCGATTAAAACGTTTGGGAACTAATGCCACCCTGCATCCCTTCTCTAATTAGAGAAGCCCGAGGCTATGGCGAGAACGCCGGGATCCCGCAGACTCGAGTCTTGCGCGTTACTGCTTTCCGCCCTTTCAGGGAAGCCGATTTCCTTCCCGGAGACAAAAGTCCGCCACCTCCCCACCTGTTGCCGGACCCTCCCTAGCCCCAAGCCAACTGCGTTAGGACGCGCAGCGCGGCAGAGAAGTTGGGGGCAGCGCAGTGGGGAAAAGCTCCCAGTTCCCTCTTCCTGTCTTGGAAAGTACCCCTTTGCATTCGGTAGGCTTCGTATTTTTCTCTCCATCTGTCTTCCACGGTATTTCTCACATTGTCTATGTATAGCTTGGTCTCAAACCCTCCACCACCTGTCCGTCCCCCCCCCGCACCCCTTTTAAACATGGATTTCCAAGTCAAGCATCTGGGAATGGGAGTCCTAGGTACCCTCCCGATCCACTTTCTTGGTTGCACACTTTGCTGTAGGAATTTTTCACTTGCATAAATAATTTGTACTTTTTGTCCCCAGTCGTTTTAAGAAATGTATATTAAACACCTACTATGTGTCTGGACAGATAGATGCTTATTATACTCCTTAGTCTTCTTCCTTCCCTCTTAGCCCGTCCCCAAATATGTCTTAAGAAATTAAATCTGACTTGGTTCAATTCCTCAAGCAAGCTGTTGATTCTATCCCTATGGTGTATATATAGACATATGTAGATTTTACCTTTTTCGTGGCTTAGTAGGAAGGCACCAAGACACAAGATACTAGGGAAGCAAAAGAAAATGAGAAATAGCAGACATATTATAACTACAGATTTTGTGTATGCATGTGGGAATGTGTGTTCATTTTGTTGGTAATGGTGGTATCTGATATTTTTACAAAAATTTGAAATACATTTTGCCCTAGAATAAAGGTGACTAAGAGGGTTTGATTTTCCTTTTCTTTCTTTTCCCTCCTCCCTTCCTTCCATCTTTTCCTTCCTTTCTCATTTTTTGTTGCCCTAATCCTTCTTTTTGGAAAAGAGCCAGATTTACAAAGAAATATCAAGTCACTGTTCCTGATCTTGTTAATTTAGAAAATGGAACCTCAGCAAAGATGCTATTAACTAAATGTCAACCCACAACATGCAAAATTCCTTGGATCCAAACTTCAAAAAAGGAATGAAAGATGTCATGTGAGTGAAAGGAATCATGGAATTTTTAAAGGCTTAAGCTGATGTTAATAGAATTTTATAGCTTTCACACCCTGCTTCACACCATTTTAATTTAACAGTTACAACATGGATGACATTGCAACATAAATCTTACTAATTAAGAAGCTGGGAGGGGCAGAGAGAGGAAATGAATGAGAAAAGTGATTCATTTGCATTGAAGAAAATTATAATTTGCAAAATTGAAAAATTTGTGGAAGCTTTGAAATGAAAAACCAAAATCTATTCTGTCAGTGATTTTATCATCAAATCTCTTATTTTTTAATTTGGTTGCTAATTTAAATTTTAATTGAAGAATAATGTAGTAAAGTGCTCAACCCCTAAGCACACAACTTGGTGAGGTGTGTGTGTGTGTGTGTGTGTGTGTGTGTGTGTATCCGTTACTTAGATCAAGTTATTGAACATTTTAAACACCCCAGAAAACCTCATGCTCCTTTCCAGTCAATACCATCCACCACCAACTACTATTCTCATTTCTATCACCATAGATTAGTTTTAAATGTTCTTGAGCTTCACGTTTATGGAATCATACAGTGTGTACATAGTGTTTTGCTTGGGTTCTTTTACTCATCAGTGTGTTTTTGAAATTCACCTGCTCAAACTCCTATTTATAAAACAATATAAATGGTAAGTCAATTTATATAGGTCAAGAAGGGTAGGCAGACACTGCAGAGCTTTACTCTGAAATTAAAAACAAACAAAATTAAATTAAAACAAACATTGCCCCCAAACTCCATCCCCCCAAACACATAATTATCAAACAGCAGAGGTAATTTTATTATTACAAGTAAATAAATATGATTAAATATTTTACCGTAGCAACTGTTCCTTACATCACTTTTAAGATGCAATTGGGGGTAAATGTAAGGAGAGCAGAAGCCACAAGCTACTTTTGTAATTGGATTCTATTTCCTACTTGCCATCTCAGCCTCTAATGCTAGTAGTAAGTACTTTGGGCCTCTTCACAAAGAATAGCATGAACTTGAGGGGGAAAGTAAATTGCATCCAGTTTGTTCTACCTCAGACATGCAAGTACTTAATGCAACAGTCTGTCAAGTGCACTTTGAATTCTGTTTGCAAGTAAAGTGTTTGCAACAAACCTAGCAGTCTATACTTTGTCCCATCTGTGGGAAATCATACAGGCCAGTTAACGTTGAAAAGAGAAAAGCTGTCCTCTAGAAATGAAAGCACAGCACAGACACCTGCAGAACTATGATTGTCCTGCTTTCTCCCGGCATACCCAGCAATCATCGACAAAGCCACCTCTCTTCATGAAGTCATTTTGTATGTGACCAACCAGAGACAACCAGTGCAGCCCATCATTGCCTGCCCCCCAATAAAAACAAGAGAATGCAGCCAGTAGGACTCCTTTTCCCTGGAAGGATAGTATTTTTAGGCATGGGCATATTTGTGCATGGGAAAAATTATAAGACCAAGTAGAAGAGACTGAAGTAAGGTTTTGATTGCTTGATACTGAATATTGGTAAATTTGAAGTTGAGAACACATAGTTTTATTATCTTAAATCTAAAAATTAATGTAAATATAAGTCTTGCAGTTCATAGGAAGTCACTGTGAAGACAAAAAGTCATTCCTACTGAATTATCACAGTACCAGTCATATGAATTGAATCAGTAATTTCTGAAAACAAGTTTTAAAATTATATGCCTTTTAGAAGAGCTAAAATAAAAATAGCAATAATACAAAATCCTGATAAGGATGCAGTGAAACTGGTCACTCATACATTACTGGTATGAATATAAAATGGTACAGTCTCTCTGAAAAATAGTTTGCCAGTTACAAACCTAACATGCACTTATCATACAGCCTGAAAACCATACTCTAGGGCATTTACCCCAGAAAAATGAAAATGTATGTTCACAGAAACAACTGTGCATAAATGTCCATAGCAGCTCTATTTGTAATAGTAGGAAAAGAAAAACAAAAGGAGACAACCTACAATGGGTGAAACTGGTATATTCATACACTGGAATACTACTCAGCAATAAAAAGGAATACACTGTTGGTGCATGCAACAAACTAGATCTCAAAGGCATTATGCTTAGTGAAAAGAGCCAACCTTAAAAGGTTTCATACTGGCTATTCTATTTATATGACATTCTTGAAACAAAGCTATAGAGATGGAAACAGATTGGTGGTTGCCATGAGACAGAGAAAAGATGGAAGGGGTCTGTATATAAAAGGGTAGCAGGAAGGAGTTCATCTGTAGTGATGGAAGAGTTCTGTGCCTTTATTCTTGTGGTGATTACACAAATCTATACAAAGGATACAATTACATAGAACTACACACACACACACACACAAATAATTACATGTAAAAAATGGTGAAGCATGAATAAGCCTATGCCCTATACAGCAGTGACATAGCAATGTCAGTTTCTTAGTTTTGATATTGTACTGCAGTTATATAAGATGTCACCATTGGAGGAACTGGGTGAAGGATGCATAAAACTCTGTACTATTTCTGCAACTTCCTTCAATAATTATTTCAAAACAAAAAGTTAAAAAAGTAAGTAAAAGGTCCTTCAGTCAGTGTCTCCTTAATAGAACTCTCTGCTGATGACAAGAATTTTCATTGGTTGAATTCTTATAATTAATAACAGCAATGAATTTAGCCCTGTCCTCGCTACAGGTATTTTATAAGCAATGTTTAAAAGACTGATCACTTTTCTTTGTATTTTCTATTAATAGACCCAACGCTGAAAGCTTTCTGGAACATAAAAAAAAAATTTACCCATTTGTTTGAAAAACTTCATTCTTTGAGGGTGGATTTGATATTTGCAAATAGCGAAATGTGACTGAGAGTCAAATATGGTGAAAAAAGCAGATGACTAAGTTGGGTAAAACAGTTTTTTGGCAAAGCCAAAGTGTCCCTGAAGATTTATCATCTTGTGTGAACTGGTCACAAAAGGAGAGTTCTCAAAATGTCCTTGGGAATAAGAGCAACACTGGGATTCTCACGGCCTCCCATGGTGATAGTTTAGGAAACTCGCGTTTGCATGTGTAAGTTCTGATGAAGGTTCAAAAATTTGCCTCATTTCTAGATTCAGGCTTTAAATTTGGCTCTTGGAAATGTATGTCATATTTTGGAAATAGTATATTAAACAAGGTATTGACTGTATAAAGG